GAGAATGCTGTTGATGATCTTGTTTGAATCATCAAGACTATATCATGCATGTTTCTAATGTATAACTTTTCTAAAGTTCTTTCACCTGACTTATAATATTATCAGCCTTGCATGGAGCGCCTTTTTAATGACGGCAAATTAGGATATATGCATACAATTTTTTCCCCCGAGCACTTAAAGAAGTTTTTACATTTTCCTCGCTACCTTTAGCTCTAACAGCWTGGGATGTTATATCGCAGCGTGGGACAATCACAATCGGAGTTTTAAGCTCTCATGTTAGGTGAAAGTTCAAAGATTGAATTGGATTAAGGAGGTAGGAAAAGTACTTACCGATATAAGTTTGGCAATTCTTGCTCGTAAAATTTCGAGGGCATATACAACTAAAGTTATCTTCCTTCTCGACGCATTTTCCATTGTTGCTGCAMGGTCTCAGTTGGCAAGAGCTACTTACTCGCTGGTCTTCGCCTTCAACAAAATTATAAGCTTTCATGATCATGCATTTCTATATATAGAGCAATTGCAGCACGCCGGAATGCAGCTCAATTTGGAGGACAGAACAAGTAGGTCTCCAATTCTCATGAGATTTAATGTATTTTGTTTTGTTCTCCAAATTGAGCTGTTTTGACGTCACATGCCGGTATTTATTTAACCAACAATATGTAATATCTGATAAATAAATAAATCAATTCGTTATCATAGATTCCCATGAAGTCTAATGYATGCAATCTATCTTCCTTCCCGAAGCGAACCTGTAGCATTCGTTCTAAATTGGGTTAGGTATTTTCAATGTTCGAAGGAATGCAATAGTTTTACTATGTCTTATCATAGTTAATGGAGTGGAATGGTTTGGAAACTCCATAGAACAAAGCAATTGYTTTGCCTTTGATGTTGAATCGTACCATCACGTGTTACTGACGGTGCACGCACAATGAACCAAAGCAAGTWTGGCTGAAAATGCTCATTTCCTTATGATTTTCATGTATGAACACTTTGAAAGTACAAACTTTCATTCCATGACCAAAAACCATGCGAATAAATATTTCAGCGCAGATACAGTTAATAAGAAAGCATTAAAAAGGGCAATTTCATTTTCAATAAACAATTAATATTAATCATATAGGATTAATAAACTAATAATACATATTTTAGAACGATTTCTAAGGGCAAAGAACTTTTATATTCCCTAATACTGTGAACAAATGGAGAAACTTTTCCTTCACTGTGCACTGTCAACGTCATATAACAATGGATAAAGACGAATAATCAAAAACATAGAACAATAGGTTTCCTAACCATTCCGCTCCATTAACTGTAATGATGAAAAGGTAAATTATACACCGTGAAAAGATGAAAAAACTTACTGACGTTTCGGAATAATGTCTTATTCTATCATATATACACTCCTTTCTACCACTTCTTTCTCTTTTACTCCGACGAAGGACTAGCGTCCGAAACGTCAGTAAGTTTTTTCATCTTTTCACGGTGTACAATTTACCTTTTCATCATTACTGTTTCATTAGAAACACCGACGCAGCTCACACTAGTTTTTAGCTAGTTATATCTTTTCGCTCCATTAACTATGGTCTTATGGCGACACATCATGGAATATCCCACTTGTCATATGTAGGCTRCCATAGTGCATCCCCATTGTATATCTAGTATTTTCTAACCTTTTTTACACTCCACGACAACGACTTTGGAACTATCACACCTGTGAAAGTTCAGCCCACGGTGAAGACAAAACATTATTGATGATTCATCTCCTTGACATTTCACTTCATCAAGCACTACAACATCACTGCCTTTGGCAACTAAGGAGGTAGACTTTGCTCCAAGGTAACCAAGGTTACGGCATATCACGTGAGCAGCATTCATATTCCATTCTTTGCCACATATTGCTCCCCATTTGCCTTTGTACTGGATTTGAACACGACCTTCATTAGAACTTTTACCGCCAATTAGTCGACCACCTTTTGAAAGATAAAACAATGAAAAAAGTTAAATGAAATCACTATGAAATTATTAGTTTATTGTTATTGGCTATTGTTATTATGGAAGTTAGTTTACTGATCCATGTATTTCCAGTGAACCATTTTTTAGAGTAGTTGAATTTGGAGGCCAATGCCATGGATTTCAATTGWCATGAAATTATTGTGCTATCATATGCTTTCCCTCTAGATTAAGCTGCATATTCTAATTGGGAATACCGCGCTGAAAAGGCTTAGAGTTCTATTCTTTTCTATAGCCCAAGTATTTTACATTTTTTAAATAATTTCAATTCATTCAAATGCAGYTTTTTCATTATCAAAGCGATGGAAAAAAAGTAAAATCCTATAAACTGAAATAAGCTCGGTAACAGTGATGACACACAGTGCAACATTGCACGCAACATTGCAAGCAACAAATTTGAACCGGGGTGACACACATTGCAACAAAATCATGCMACATACATCGCTTGTGTCARCCTGCTATGTTAAGATATTTGGTCAGCAGTTATRAATTTGGTGCAAGCTGATTGGAACCTTCTCAAAAGTATCGTAAATGCGATGTYAACTTGAAAATACAAAATAAATCACACTTTCCCTCGATGAAAGTTGTGGCATTTCTTTTGTATTTAGACGTTGGCTTCGAATTCACGATACTTTTGGGAAGGGTGCATTACTTTGCTTAAATTTGCTTTTTAATAGCAATAGTGCATTCCGATTGAAAATGTGAATATGCACGATATCCGCTAGCCATGAAGATCGTTTTAATGGACTTAAAACGACTAACATTACACTTACCAAAGCAATCAACGCCAGCATCATTYGCGTGATTCCCAAAAGAGAGGAGCTTGCCTGTATTACGCTTGTAGCCGCACTGAGAGAGTTTGGTTTCATTTCCAAAACATTTTGCATCAGATAACCATATTGGTCCTTTTCCCTGTCCGAAGGCGTTCCCAGTGAACGCTGCTACGGCTCCTGCAAACCTTAGCTGTCGACAAACTACAGTCGCATCAAAGATATCCCAGCCAGTTGAATCTATAGTTCCCCAGATACCAGCGTAAAGCACTTCGACCCGACCTCGATGGGCATCCTGTGATCCACTTAGACGCAATTGTAATTCTATAAGAAAGTTTAAACACAAGATAAAATCCAAAACAAGGTTTGCGAGAAGAAAAAAAAAAAATTACAACATGTGATGGCTTTTATGCTCCTATTACGCTGTTAATAACTATTAAATTACGAATTAGCACACCTCATAGCGCGAAAAGAGATATAAGAAATTTKTATTTTTGCAGAGGAAGCCCAAGRAAAACYGGATAACCCAGAGAAAAACATTGAGYTAAGGAGGAAACCTAAAAAACCTCTATTAAGCTGGATACTGTGTTTTGTTAACTGAAAATAGCACTGTGTTCAATTGCAAGTCTGTCGAAATCTTCGACAATTCCGGACTTGAAGTGATATGTGGAGAATTGAACCAGGGTTGCTGTAGTGATGGGCAGGCGTTCTCTGTTTTTGTTTTTGTTTTTGTTTTTGTTTTTGTTTTTGTTGTGTGTTTATATGCGTTTCTATGTTTTTTCCCTCAACAAATACCATACTTACCTTGGGTTGCGAGACTTTTACAGACTACGGCAGCATCTTGATCGTGAAAACACTTGTTATTTCCCCAACCTTTATGAGTACATGTTGCAAGTGAAGCCTCTTTTCCAGTGCATCTAACATCACTTAGCCATACAGGACCAGTTCCTCTACCATACAGGCCACAACAGTGAGCATCGAGAGCACCTTTATAACCTAACTGACGACATACCACCTGGGCATTGTTAAGTGTCCATTCATTTCCACAAACCGTGCCCCAACGTCCACGGTGATAAACCTCGACTCTTCCTGTTCCATTTGTAGAAGAAGAAGCTAACCTAATAACTAAAATCACCAATAGAATTTAAAAATTTGATTTACAGCAGCGTATCATTAATTAAATACAATTTTTTGGTTTGGTATAAAAACGGTCACAATTCATTATTACATCGGATAACCAATTTTAACACCAAACATAATAAAGTGAAATTACACCCAGTCCCTATGCTTACAAGATTATAAACCTCGCCTTGTTCATTTATGTAATAAGACGCCAACTTAATGGCTTTTAAAAATTACGAATGGCATCATATGCTGCAGCTCGTCAGTTAGGAAAGAAGAGAAATTTAATTGAGGTTATATCAGTCGAAATTCATACCATTTTTAAACAATGCCCGGTAAACAATTTATTTTAGCAAGAGCACAAGGCTTTGAATGGATATACATAACTCATATAAATACCAGCCCCATTGATGATTGGAATACAGTGCTAAAATATMATTTAACCATCTCAGTAAATATCTATAGAGATTGCAAGTGCATGTTGCAATTTTTGTTTTTGTTTTTGTTTTTGCTTTTGTT